CACTCTTTTGACTCCCCCCCCCCTCCCTCCCCACCACCATTTCCATTCTGAAACTTCTGAAAGACTTTTGGCATGATGTCTAAGCACAGTAGTTAGTAGTTAGTTGACCGAGAGGTAGCAGTGAACAACACAAGGTTGCAGCAGGACACAAACTAAGAGGATGTAAAAAATCCCATGCGCCAAGCAACGCATTTGGAGCTAAATTTAACAGAATCACACTCGATTTAGTGAACTATTGTACTTCACTAAATTGAACGAAAATAACAAAGTTTGATTGATCGGAAATTAAACGGAAACATGCTTGATTTAATGAACTAACTCACTAAATTGAGCGAAAATAACAGAAAGGAGTGGCTTGAATTACTTCGTTAATTTGAGAAAATACTGTATCATTAGGTCAAACACACAATAAGGGAGAAATATTTCTTCATGTGTTATGAGGAAGGGAAAGTGAGGGATCTCAACTGTTCGGAGCTGTCTCCCATGTGTAGTGAAACTATTGTTTAATTTTGTTGTCCAGCCAAATGGGAATAAATTTTTTTTGTTCTAGCGTAATTATTGGTATTATTTTTAATTATTCCTCACGTTTACCGGTAGTGTATATACCATTAAAAAAAAACTATGGCTACACGAGGAAATTACACACAAGTTTTTTCCTAAACATTCCCTGCTGAAACAGGGTGTGTCTTATATGCCATAAAATTCGGTAAGTATAATTATTGTGTTCTATTTTTATCTGAAGGTACTGTACTATTATAATGTTTCTGCAGTATTTACTCCCATATGACTTGCCATAAAGTATCATGCAAAATAATCAAATTGGAGTTAAATCTTTTCTTATACCAATCCTTGGGGGAAAAATTTATTTAAGGGAATATGCTTGGTCCTGACCTGCAAGTAAAAGCAGTAAGGAATCTACAATGATAAGTTTTAATAATCAATTTCATAAATGAATGAAATGCTTCACTTTATGAGCCAGCTGACTGTCAAGAGACAAACACGAACACTTAATAATTTATAACTAACTAATTAACTATCAGCTGAACATAATTCATCAAATCTTATACAAGAAATATGACAAGTTTCTTGTTCTCCAGAAAAGATAAACAGAATGACAGCAAGACTCTTGAAGGGTATGGCTGGACGGGGCTGCTGACCTGCGCGTGAAAGGGTCATTGATCTGCTTCATGGGCCAGAAGGGGTCAAACTTATCCTTCTGCAAGAGGGCGACCATTATGCAGAGCCAGAAGGCCAGCAACAGCAACAGCACCAATAGCACCAACATTTGCATGTAGTGTATAACCATGCCCATGAACGTCAGCAGCATGGCCTGCTGTCTCGTCTTGGGGGAGCCTGCAATAAAAATAGCACATCGCAGCAGCCCCGCACCAAGCTATAAACCTCACTCCATTTTCAGTTACACTTACCTACTGGCTTCTACAAGTTAACCTCAATGTAAACCTTCACAACCAACCTTTAACCTCAGATGAACCAAAGTGTGTCTGTTGAGCAACTCACAACAACCTTGTCAATAAGCAAAAATTGTCAACAGAAAAAAGTAATCAACTTATACTGTACAACATTCACATACTGTTGGTTCAAAATAATAAAAACACAAATTAACTAAAAAAAAATCTTGCAATGCAAATCTTCACCAAAGAATAATTGTGAATGAAATCAATAAAAAAAAAAACACCTTGCAAAACATTAAATAAACACACACACATATATACATGCTCCCTGACTTTCACCCTCCAGAACTTCAACACAAACCGCAATAAAAAACAAAAACAAAAGAACAAGCATACATCCACAAACATCTGCACTTCCATACACATATTAACTGTCTAGACACACTCTCCTCTCCCAGCACACATGACACACCTCCTCTTCATATCTATTTCTAGTTCTCTCATACATTCAACAAATTCTTCAACTAAGATGTTTGCCCCACACAGACAGACTGTTTGTACACAGTCTTGAATAACTTTCTTTGAGTAAACTCCAACTCTAAAAACCCATGACTGATATACCTGTAGAAGTATTCTACTAGCACTAAATACACGAAAGTCAATCAGTACTGTTAATAAATCTTAACTAAAGCACTGAACAAATAAAAATTAGCATTTTGTTCCAGACACTGCCTGTTTTCACAGGGGTCCTACAGTAAGATAACATCACGGCACAGTGCTGGTTGATGGTCCTGCCACAGGATTTTGAAGGCTTGATGATTCCCTGTCAGTGACAGTAATACTCTTCTCAGTCAATTACTTGAAAAGAAGTGTTTATGTGGTAGCATATGTTTTGTGAAATAGATAGCAAAATGGTATAGTACAGGTTCATTGTTATTTATTTTCAACAGAATAATCTTTTTACACATTACAATATTTCTTTTTCTTTCATAATTACACTGGGTGTGGGCTTTTTTACACCCTACAACAAAAGGGTTAGAAGATAACCAGCCCCTACTGATGGGTGAGCCTCCCCAGGTTACCAACACAACTGTCAGAGGGGAATACCAAATACTGCACATATAAGGAATCTCCTCTACACACGTAGTTCTTTTAAATACAGTACTCCAGTAAATTTTCAGCCAAGGTGTTTATCTCACACACACACACACATATACACATTTACAAACTATCTGTGCACTCATCCTTTGAAAAACATGACGGACTCTCCAACTCCCAGTACACATGATGCATTTAATATGATAATGGTGTACTAGCCACATCAATGTTTACAGAAATTATTGTCTTCTGTATTCCCTGGAGTCACATGTCCATTCCACCATTCCTAACTAATGGTAATTTAGAGTGGATAAAGGCAAATTTCCACTCTGGAGACCTCACCATCACATAGCGTGTGGATGAAATTTTCTGGTACAGTACCATAGAAAAAAGTTTTTTGGGAGAGTGGCGAGTTTGCCCTTCTCCAATTTATTGTCTCATATCAGTTCCTCTCATACACTTCTGTAAATTATTCCACCAAGACATTTAACACACTCAAACACAAACACACAAAATGTAGTCTCTAAATGTATCCTTGCAACTGTATCTTTGGATATACTATACTGTAGTCTATTCAGAGTTCCACTTATTTTATTCATACTGTAATTTACCCAAACATTCATTACACATATAAACCACCCTGGAATCAATAATACAGCACTGTACAGTATCCTGTACTGTATTTGCAAGTTAGGATCAGCTATATATTAAAGAATTCTAGAAACAGCTTGACTCAGTGTAACAAGGGAAATATATCTTCTACCTATTTAATCGTCCCTCTCCCTACCGTATACATTCCACCTCCCTCTTTCCCCTTAATTCAATATTTTCATTAATTTCTCCCCCAATCTCTACATAAGTAGAATACCTAAACTGCTTTTGTAGTAATATGTAACAATCTGTTTTTCACTCATGTTAACAAACTGCAGCATGAGGAATATATTTAAAATGTTGCAACAGGTCTTAAGTTTTCACTGTCTTCACATACTGTACTTTAAATACTGAAAAAACTCAGGGTACAACCACAAACAAGTTTTTTACACCGCATTTTTGACAAGGTACCAAACCCAAATGAGATAACCCAGCACTAGCTATGGGCAGACATGCAGTTTGGATGTTCATTCCAGTAGTTCAATGCCTCAGGGGTGTAAAGGGATTAATGTTCATGACTGTACATCACAAATTCCCTATGAATACCAATGATGGAAAGTTTCAGCAATCCAACTACAAAGAGCAATAGAAAAATCAGTGAAGAAAGCACCAATTACTAATACTACCGAGGGGAAAAATAATCCACTTATATATCTAGAGAGAGAACTGACTTAGCAACTGAAAACCAACATGAACTGGAGAAAAATGGAAGGAGCAAAATAAACAAAAAGCAGCCAGGAGATATGAGACCTGTTTCTCTCCCTGATTAATGAGCATCTGTAAATAACTGGAGCCTTACTCATCTGCCACAGCTTAAGCGTAGAGAAGTTATCCCTCTGCAATGTCTGAAGGCTAATAGAACGTAGCAACAGGAGTATCAGTGCATATATGGAACTCTATCCCCTGCCTACAATTCCCCAAATGGTCCTGGTGATTCATATTCAAGGAAGAAAACCTTTAAAACTTTAATGGGGTGAATAACTAAATGTGATTCCAATGATAAAAACAGTTGTCTATGGTTAAGGAAATGTCTTGTATCTAATAACCATCATTTGTTTCCCTTGTGAACATAACCAATAGTAACTAACGGTCAAGATGACAGCAAGATATACATAAACGGGAAACATGACATGCCTATGCTGCAGAAAGACCTAAAGAAAAGGCAAGAAATTCAAACACTGAACCTATCCAAAGATTGAACAAAGCTGGTCAATTTACAAGTCTTGTCTAACCAGTAGCAGGGAACTAGAGGCATTCATGATGATGTTCCATATATCTTGATTAAAGTTGTTCAGTGTCTTTCCTCTCCATAATATATTCTTACTTTTCTGCTTACTAATCTAATGATATTACAGCCATCATTCACCCTCCTCTGCCTATTTGAACCCACTCTATCCACAACCCCAGTGGCTGTTATTGATACATTCGTACAACACCATTCAATCAAATATATTCCTGTATCTAGGATTTTATTGCTCACTCTTTATGATAGTGAACCTTCCTGTATCTGTCCTCCTCCTTAGGATTCACCACCAGACATAAACAATCTCACCTCCTATAACAAGCAAATTACCTTAAGTGCCACTTGAGCATTGGGCAAAGTCCAGGCGCCTTTATCACAAGTGCACCTGCTTTTGCTACTTCTTAAAGCAGAGATAAACATCAAACACACAACACTCACCTGTTTTTCCTTGAGATGTTGGCTGCAGTGATCTTATCAGAGGTAACGAATAGGGCATTCTCAGCATGCACCAATAGTATAACATCATGAAGGCTATGCACAGGGACACAGTGAAGGCATAATATTAAATACAACAGAAAATAAAACCAGGCATTTACTTTCATATCCGCGAGTGAAGTCGTGATGACTATAAGAGTTTCTGTGTTGACTAGGAGAGTTGGATTCTTCTGGGCCGTAAAGGTCATACTGCTTCTTCTTCTCTGCATCACTCAGTACAGCAAAGGCATTACCTACAGCTGTGAGAGAGAAATCATTTGCCAAGTGTCAAACAAAACCACTGCAACTTTGATTACATTGACACAAATATTTACCCATGACCTCCCTTTATGTGCATTACACAAAGTGTTATGTTGGACTGAAATGTACCGGTAACTTATCGTTGGAGGTGACCTGCATAAGTAAAGGGTGGGCCTGGGATGGTAGTGGAGGCATCCACTCCTGCATCCTGGTATGCAGGCAGATGAAAGGATATGTGGTTTTCTATGGTAATGAATGGGAGAGTAGTATTTGAGTGAATAGTATAGTACATCCATTTCGACAAGTGTTACCATATGGTCCCTTAATTTCACGTTTGTTGCTCTTAAATTGGGGAAAAGTTCACTATTGTGTCATTTACGTCTCACACGTCTGTTGTTTGGACTACTTGCCATGGCAGAGTAATAAGTCAACTTGTTTGCTATTTATACAATTTTATATAGTACAGGTATTATTATTTTATGGTCTATTTTGTTACTGGGGATGAAAATACCAAGTTGATAATATTCATTGTAACTAAACATATAAAGAGATGAACCTAACCAACATCTTCTGTGTACAGTATAGTTATACAGGGTGTCCCATATGTTTCCATACAACGTATCACCAACGCCATTACAAGCATAACTCCAGCTGTGCTTGAACGTGTTCTTCAGCAGAGGAGGACACGCATAGAAGAGTGTTTTCAACAGAATGGTAGTCATGTAGAGCATATTATATAAATAAAAATGGATTTTCATATAAAATTTATTTTTCCTATGTATGGAAATGTATGGGACACCCTGTATACCAGCATCAGTATCTTATTTGGCTTCAGTGCTGCAGACAATGTACCAGAGGTTTTTGTGTTCTATCCCACAATATTTATATTTCACATTGCCACCAAAGGTCCAAAGTGTGTGTTAAGTACAAAAAGTGAACCAGAACATAAGGGAGGACAGAATAAGTTGAACATTTAAAGTTAAAGTTATACAGGTATGTCTTAAAGAGCTGAGAGTGGTGAGGAAGTAGGTAGCATCGCCTGCACGCTGGGTCTGCCTCATACCACTATTATTTCTATGCTCAAGATGCAAGGCAAAATTGAACTGAGCACTAAGATGACTATTAAACTTTCAGGGACAAAAATAAGGAGGCAGAGGATTAAGTAAAGTTCAGTGTACATCAAACTATGTACAGGAGATCCCCGACTTACAAATGTCCGCCAATACGAACGGGGTTAAACATGAAATTTACAGTATTTTATTTGCCTGATGACTTATTTTTTTACTGTACTTCCATTTACTGTATTTTGTAATTGTATTTCTTCTTTTGTCTTAAATTATATGTATATAAGGACTTAGGCTATGATATAGTGGGATTTTAAACAATGTTTTTTAAGTACGGTATGCACATAGCTTCTGTTCCGACTTACGAACGCCCTCAGGAACGGCACCCATTCGTAACCCGGGGACCCCCTGTACTGTAAAGGTACTGACTTGTTCATTCTTTGTTTGGATGTTATAGGGTACAGTGGTAACAACTTAGAATGTAACTCCCTTGTATATTACAGTGTTCCTCATGACAGAAATTATCCCTGTTTTTCATCTAATGATTGAAATTAGTGTTGAATAGGAACATAACCCTCCTATTCCACTAATTCTCATGGAAAAATTTCCCGCTCTTCGTGATTTCACTCTTCTGTCCTTATGTTTTAGACTGTAGAACAGATAAATAAGTCAGACAAACTGTATCAGGCAAATTTAGGCTTATCAATTTAACAGGTCTCTAGAAAATACAATGGACCCTGGCTTTATGCACATTCACTATATGCGAATTCCCATTTATGCGGCGACCCTATTTCTATTCACAATTAATTTTATGCGGAAAAGTTTCCCCTTTATGCATTCTGTAGACGGTATGGCGCACTAGTTTAATATTATATTATCTTTATTTCTAAGCCATATTAGAGTAGTACAGGTTGTACCTCTCTAGTCCGGCATTCTGTGGTCCGGAAACTCCCGTGGTCCGGAACGATTTTAGTTTGTCCAATAGGTAGATAGGCAGCTTTTTTTTTTTAACTTATCTGAATTATTATTATTATTACAGGAGTATTAAATTTTTGCTCCTCAGGCCCCAATGTGGGCCAGTGACCTATGCCCGGGTGGGCTAATCCCCTTAAAAAAACCAAGCCGCGGGAAATTAAGGTTTGTTTACATCCGGCAGTTCGGCTGCTCTCTCTCTCTCTCTCTCTGCTTGTCTATACAGAGTACAACATTTAACCCTTCAATATATATGAGCAGTAAATAAGCGTTGCTTTCATATTCTTATGTAGAGTAATGACGATATGTTTTCACATGTGCGCACTTACATACGCACAGTCTCACTTTTTTTTTACCATTAATGGTTAGTTACTTATATTGTTCCATTTATTAACATTAAATAACATTACAGGTACTTCAAACAACCATATTAATTTTTTTACATTAATTTTACTACAGCTAAGCTCAGGGTCTTATTTTCTTCAGTTTTATATGTAGAACCAATCAGTCACTGGTTTTGTAAGCTTTAACATAAACAATGCCGGCAGCCGTCTCGTCTCCTCTAATATTCCACGTATTATTAATAAATTGTATTCTTAATTTTGCACACACAAACATTAATTCAATAAAAACAAATTCAGAAACATTAATTAAAATATATTTGAACAGTAAATAAGTGTTGCTTTCATATTCTTATGTAAAGTAATGACGATATGTTTTCACGTGTGCGCACTTACATACGCGATCTCTCTTTTTTCTTTACCATTATCGTTAGCTACTTCTATTGTTCCATTTATTAACATTAAATAACATTACTTAAAACAACCATATTAGTTTTACTACAGCTACAACCAAGGTCTTATTTTCTTCAGTTTTATATGTAGAACCAGTCAGTCACTGGTTTTGTTATCAACGAAAACAATGCTGTGTCATTTCCTCGTGTGTTTTAATATTCTACGTATTATTAATGAATTGTATTGCTCATTTTGCACACATAAACATTAATTCAATAAAAAAGACATTCAGTAATAAACAATAATGAATCTTTTGTACATAAGAGAAATGACGCTGTTTACACGATTATGCACGTCGTCTGCACGTTGGCGGGCCGTTCAAACCCGTCGAAATACAAGTTTCCGCCGTAAAATTTTTTATTTATTTATTTTTTGTGTGTTCCAATAAAATACGTTAAGAATTAAAAACTCGCGAAATTTGAGAACCTACTATACGACATTTAACCCTTCAATATGTCTTCAAAGAGACCATGATGCAGAGATAGTGGTGCTAGTGCTTTCAAGCATAAGCACAAGTCACTATCTATCCAGGAAAAGGGTGAATTTCCATGGTCCGGCACCGGTCAGGTCCCGAGGTTGCTGGACTAGAGAGGTACAACCTGTACTGTATTTTAACGATTTTTATACAACTTTTACCAGCATTACTGCTCCAAAAATGGTTGTGAAATGTGGCACAGTGTGTGTGTGTGTGTGTGTCTACTGCGCTGTATGTGAAACCATGGGACGCGGCTGGAGTGGTGAGTCAGCCACTCCACACACCTTCACTTTCCACACAAACATCCACGCTCTTCACATGTCTTAGTTTATAGTTTTATATTATATCAACTTTATTTCTAACCCATATTAAAGTTTGTAATGATTTTTCCACAACTTTTATTGCATTACTGTTGACTTTTAGTAGTTGTGGAACATATCTCAATTTTCCCCCTACGATTAAGTATTCACTATATGCGGACTCCCATTACGCCGTGTTGTCACAGAACGCAACCATAGCATAAAGCGAGGGTGAGGTGTAACCTGAATACTGTACACGGGAAGGAGTCTCCTCCATACAACACTTTCTTGGGACACAAACACCAACCAGTAGGATACACTTAAGCTCTCTCACTCTTGTCTGTCAACTAAACCTATAAATATACTTCCATATTCCTTTACATTTTCTCCTTATTTTATCTTTTCAATAAAAGTTTTACATATATTCAAACTGATGTCAATAAAGCTGAACAAATGAACTCTTACAGTGTTAAATTTTCAGAATAAACTAAATTTACAATACTGTACAATACAGTACCTCAACTTAGTACAATAGGAACACTTAATTTATACAAAGTGTTGAAAATCAAAAACGAGGCTGAAGAATCACTTTGTAATCTGCCAATCAAAGTGGAAAATATAAGCAGGTATGTGTGGTTCAATAAGCAGGTATGTGTGGTTCAATAAGCAGGTATGTGTGGTTCAATAAGCAGGTATGTGTGGTTCAATAAGCAGGTATGTGTGGTTCAATAAGCAGGTATGTGTGGTTCAATAAGCAGGTATGTGTGGTTCAATAAGCAGGTATGTGTGGTTCAATAAGCAGGTATGTGTGGTTCAATAAGCAGGTATGTGTGGTTCAATAAGCAGGTATGTGTGGTTCAAAGCAGGTATGTGTGGTTCAATAAGCAATAAGCAGGTATGTGTGGTTCAATAAGCAGGTATGTGTGGTTCAATAAGCAGGTATGTGGTTCAATAAGCAGGTATGTGTGGTTCAATAAGCAGGTATGTGTGGTTCAATAAGCAGGTATGTGTGGTTCAATAGTCTTTGATATTTCTTGTCCTTTATACACTTGTCTTACACAACTCTTCCTTATCATTTTTCCCTCTCTTCTTTAAGGTTTCTGTATCCAATGATCAGGGGAACACGAGAGTGGGAGAGGAGAGAAGACAACAAAGAAATAGAAAATAGTATTCCTGTTGTACTATCATTTAATGTACAAGTGAATAATGGCAACATATTACCCTTAAATGCCTCGCCGGCCCCAGGTGCCTTGTTTTTGTCTGGGTGGAACTGAAGCGCCAATTTACGATATGTTTTCTTAAGATCACTATCTGTAGCTTCCTTGGTGACGCCCAAGATCTCATAGTAATCCTTACACCTCATGATTCTGAAACACACAAGTCTTATATTTAGCCAAGGCTCAGTTATGGAGGGGATAAGGTAAATAGAAAAGGCAAACGATACAGTATGGTATATGTATTGTTAGGGCAACCTGGAGACTCTTCTATCATGGTTGCCCCTTCAGAGGGAAGACCCTCAGGGAAGTGATCCATTGCAGATAAAATGAAGTTTATCTGCCAACACATTACATACACTTCCTATATATGGATATTAATGTTCTGTTAAACAAGGTACAAATATCACAATAGGCATCAGTACTCCTTTGTTGCATCAGGCATTTTCATCACTCCCAAATTATCCCATGATATTCATGATCAAAGTATTAATATATAATCTGATACTTAATTTCCTATTACGAATATATCATGTTGATAATTAATGTTTGTCCTCTTTCATTTACTGTCCCTTTAAAATAAATTAGTAATTTCAAGATATTTTGATTACTTGTATGTCAAGCAAATTTTCTATTCATTCCATCTTACATTACACTTTATTATATCAGATGCTGTATATCTAACTGATAAGAACACAGTACAGTTAAAATACAAACACAAATTAATCATTCCACCAAAAGTGACACATACTTTAGTTACAGAATCTTGGCTAAAACTCTGGTGTTTGGTGAAGGTTAAATGAGGAGTTTAAAATTAAAACTATGTTGACAGATAAAATACAACAGTACAGGTAGTGACATCCCATGCTTCACCTTCATTCATCCCAGGAAACAAATGATTTAATGATTCATCTTTAAAGAAAAGTTAAGAGCTGAAGTTACATTAATAAAAACTGCGATGAAAATCCTTTGATGAAAACCCATAATGGAGACATGTGAGTGTTACCTGAAATCTAACTCATAAGTGAAATTATCCATATCAAATCTCATCTCGAAAAGACAAATCTGAAATATTAAATCTAGAGCAAATTATATTAGGTACGGTGAAGACACTGTTTGGAAGATGCCTTACAAATACAGAAAATTCCGAAAGCAGCTGAGCCACCATATGTCTGTGGTTTGGTTACAGGACTGAGAGAGGAACACCACTCCAGAACAATGACAGGTGAGCGTTCCCCAAAGTCAAAGCTAATCATTTAATGCAACCACTAACAAGACAGTGTTCACAAGCAGTTACAAAGTTGCCCATAAGGGAGCAACATCATCCTTAAAATATAGCACTCTACAAGGTGACAACGTAAATGCATTTTAAATAGAAGCAACAAGATATTACCCCAAAATTATCAGTTCTCAAACTAGCCATGAAGGACCAACATCACCTACACTGCATGAAGCCAAGGAAGAAGTCAACTGAATCTTAAGTAAAATGATTAAAGTTTTGCTATATTATCAATGTCGCCTCATAGCAGGCTATGCAGATTATGTGGAACATTACTTGTCCTGGGTAAGAGACTTTTGAAAATGTGATGTCACAACTTCTGTCACCTCACCTCACACCTGCAGGGTAATTGGGGAGGTGGATGCAGCACCTGTGATCACCTAACCTAATTACCACTCCCTCCCTATTATCTGGTGTCAGTCACACTTGTCATGTGAAGTCATAAGTCTTGTCACCACACATCTACAGCCATTCAGCTTGGTAGTTCCTTTGAAATGTTGACAACTTGACATCAACTGACTAAAGGTGGGTTGGCAGCTTAATGTTGAGATAAATTACCTGCACCTGACATAGGTGACTAATCCTGGTACACTGATGACAAGTGGTCAGTTCATGGGCCTACCTGGTTAAACATGTATGGTGAGGTGGGGCTACACTCCACCTGAGAAATTCTCTTGGTATTTACCTCTCCAAATATTAGCTTGCCCGCTGAGTAAGTGCCAGGTACAAGGACATGAAAAATCACTTGCCCAGCACATAGTCTGGGCATGTCTGGGCTGCAGGACACTGCTAATGTGTACAACCTGCCTCATTATCATGTACTTTCCAGGTACTGTACTATTTAATACAGTAATGCTTTCTTTCTTAAACTCTTCAAAAGATATTCTGTATACAGTACTGTATAATTCTTACATTTTCTTATACTAAAGTGAATAACACAAGAATGACATGAAATAACATAATTTTACCTGAAGGCCTTCTTGCCCTAAGAACTCTATTAAAAAAAAACAAAAAAAAAGCTGTTCCTCTCTACAGTATTATGAATGACTGAGTGAGATAAATCTGGACCTTAAGACAGCACTGATGTAAACATTTATATTACCAACCTCTTAACTGCATCAACCTGCTCCTTAGTAAATTCTCCAATGGCACCAGATGACTGTGATGCATTCGGTGAAGTACCCGTACTTTCTTCACCTTTGGCTGATGTACGTCGTTGTCGAACATTCTCACCACTTCCCACCCCTCCTCCTCTGCTGCCTCCTCCGCTATCACCCTCACTTCCTGCTGTCCCATTGCTATGTGGGCTATGGCCAGCTGTGCCACTTAATCGGTTTAGTAATTCTAAAAATTCTGAAAAAAAAAATCTTGTTTAATTATCTCTGATTATAACTTTAACCATTTTTTTTAGGTTAAGTTATCAAATGCAAAAATAATGGCTGACAGAATCAATAGACAAAGCCAAAAAATACAGCTGGATCTATATTTAATACATAATTAAAATTTATCCATTAAAAGCCAATTGTATGTATACTGTACCTTACCCTAAAATTAGTTACCACACATCTTTACAACATACACCACCATGGAAATCCCTCTGATAAACACTCACACACTCCCTACAGGTGTTTCTACATTCACTTTCACACAATTTACAGAGGCATTCCCCAACATATACCAAAAAAGTGTCAAGTAACTACAGATTGTCATATCTCATGAGTTACAAAGCTACATGTACAACATTCACATTGTTTTGTCTCACTATTATTTTAACATTCTCACAACATAATGGTTGAAAATTTTGCAAAGAAATATTGATCTGTCCTAAATTATGCCTTTATTTTGATCATTTTTTTCCTAAAGATAATATCAAGGTACACACTACTGCCATTACATGTACTACTCCAAGCATACTTTAAGATCAGAAGCTATGATCAAACTTTATCATATGTTAGGGGTACCCAGTGATATGAGAATATGTTACTGAACAAGGGAGGATCAAGTGTCTATGTGATCCTCATGGATGAATCTGAAAAATAAATGCTGTAGAGGAACTGTTACAAAAAGGATATTGTATTACCTGTATATTTTATTAGTGGTAACAGGGGTTTAAGGATGATTTGTCTTGAAAATTGTGCATGAGCTCTAGCAAACATATTTAGGCTTTCTGTTATTGCATTATCAACTACTGTACTGTACTGTACTGCTGTAAGTACCATAAGATGGAGTGACTTTGGACAGTGTTTGAGGTTCTTTAAGCTGCAGTTTAAATTTGAAAGCTATAAGCATATGTTAAGTACTATACAGGTAAGCTATTGGTGTGTGAACTAATGGGTTATCCATACGTGTCAATAGAAATTCAACAAACAACATACTTTTTCTGTGAAGAGAAGATTTATAGGGGTTCGAAGTCAGAGTTCGAATGGGTCTTGGGTAACTTCGGACAACAGTGTCAATTCAATGGCTGTACAGTACCTGTTAGAGCCTGTTCAGACAGTCTGGGGGTTGTTTTGGACATGAATGAATTCAGATAAAAAGGGCCAAAAATCTGCAGCAACAAAATTACATATCCCGTACTGTACTGTACAGGTCAAAAAAGGAACAAAGGTCAAGACAAGGGAAAACTTCTCAGGAAAATTGTGTTGCAGTGAAACTTCGCCCAATGCTGGTTTGTCCAACACGATTTTGATTAAAGTTGACCCTCGTTAAAACGGACTAATAGGGGGGGGGAAGGGTGTCCGTTTTAGCGGATTGTCCGAAATAACAGATTTAGGGGTTAATATTGCATAATATTGCATTATACAGCTATGTGTATGTTTATTTGAGTGCCCCGTCATAGGAGTCCGTTTTCTCTCACTTCAGGACGCCTGAGTCGTCCGTTTTCTCTTAATCTTAGAGTGCACCAGAGACTTTGTTATTCCTTAGTAGTGACACAGAATTTGATATTGCAACTGGGGTTGCAATTGTTGAGGCAACTTAGGTATGTCTGATTACAGTTGGAATATTCAAGATCCATTGTGAGTGATGTTTAAAGCTTCAACTGTCTTTATGGTTGGTAAAACTTGTCAAGTCTGTCAGTCTGAGTGGCATGTGTGAGGCCTTGTGTTTGTACAACTGCTAAATATATAATGTTATGGTAATTATCAGACCTTGACTATTCGGCTGTCAACCCCCAAACACCTGCTCCAGCCACTACTGTGGCTGTCACGTCATCGCCACTTCCTCCACGCCCTATCCACTGTCCGTGCCCTGGCGTCTCTCCTGTGTGGCAAGACATCGCCCACCAACGCCAAGTGAGGAAGCTGCCCTGGACCTCCGCGTTAACAGAACATTCCACCGGGCTGCAGCCGTAGGAAATATCTGTATTTTGTTTGACTCCCTTATTTGCTTATTTAATATTTGTGTGAGTGGTGTCAATTATTGTGATTATTTTCGTAGTAGAGAGATGTCACCTCTAACGGTTGTTTGTTACCCCTTGGAAACCCATGGTTCTTGACTTTCCTTTTATAAGATCCTCATTAGACTGGCAAGGGATTTATATCCCAAGATCCAGGCCTTTACAATGGCCCCCAAATGCAAAGGTGATGCCAGTGGTGGTAGCACACCCAAGAAAAGTAGAAGAGTGGTGACATTAGCCGCCGTGAGAACCACAACATCAACATCATCTGTCAATCTGGAGCATGAAGCCGATGATCCATCCACTTATGAAATAAAAATCATTCCAGTTTCATCACTATCATCAGCAGGCTTCACAACATCTACGATACCATCATCGTCATCATAGTTACGTTACAATCATCGAACCATGATGCTTATCATTAATATTTGTATATTTTTTTATGTTATGTATGCTAGTTCTATTATTATCATATTTGTGCATTATGTACCGGTAAATGTTTAAAAATTCTGCATTTCATGTGGTACGAGACCATATGCAGCCACGATCCCGCCACCCCAATTTTCCCATAAGAAGTTACGTTTGCCCATCACACAGTTTTCGAAGAACCTAACCCCCACGTTGGGCGAGGGTTTACTGTAAGAAAAAATTACCCGGTACATGCTGCGTATTTGGTTCTGTTGGGGGCTCATTTCTCAAGAATACTATACATAAGGAAAGACAGCAAAACAAAACTTACTACAATTGGCTGCCAAAGAAACTTGTGGCACTGCTCTAGAAAACCAAATTTTTCAGACTTTTTTCAGGTAGAGAATTGATATTTACACTTACATAACTGTACTGTATATAACTACAGTATATTTTGAACATAACTGTGCCCTGGTGGTCTAATCTCATATACTGTACTATATATACATACGCACAGTAAGTCCTCGCTTAACATTGTTTCGGTACCACGTCACTGAACTTTAGAGACCAAAATTTCGTTTAACATCCCGGTGTTCTGATACCATGTCATTTTGCGTCGTCACGGACTACTTTCTATGGCGCATCACGGCGCCAAGCCAGTCTCTGTTACAACTTCACATCATTCGAGTGTGCTTAAGAGTTTTTGCTCTAAAACTGTACTCTAACTATAAGAAATGGCTTCCAAGCGCCCATCAAGTGCTAGTGTAGTGAAGAGGCAACGTAAGACCATTACCCTTGCTATGAAAATGGATGTATTAACCCGATTTGAAAAAGGGGAACTTGCTGTGGACATAGCCTCTGTGCTTGGTCTAACCCCCACAACGGTGCGTACTATTTGGACCAACGCTGACAAGATTAAGGTTAGTGCTGGAAGTGGTTCTTCTCTGAGTGCTACTAAGACGTCTCGAACTAGAAGCACTGTGATAGAGAAGATGGAAAAGATGCTAGCAATGTGGATGGACCAGAATCAACTCAATGCTCCTGTGAGCCTTATGGTTATCCAGCATAAGGCCAGATCCTTGTTTGACGACTTAAAGGCAGAAGAGGGTGAAGGATCAAAGGAAGAGGCCTTTACTGCCAGCTGAGGCTGGTTTCAACGATTTACGCATCGTTATAACTTCCACATAAAGATGACGGGTGAAGCTGCCAGTTCAGATATGGTTGCTGCCGAGACATTCCCGTCAGAATTCAAACGGATTATCCAGCAAGGAGGCTATTCACTGAAGCAAGTCTTCAATGTGGATGAGACTGGTCTGTTTTGGAAGAGGATGCCCGAGAGGACCTTTATCTCCAAGGAAGAGAAAAGAGCGCCAGGTTTTCAAGCGGCAAAAGACCGCTTGACGCTGCTGCTTGGCGTGAACGCTGCCGGTGACTTCAAGTTGAAGCCTTTGCTGATTTCTCTCGCTGCCAACCCATGGGCCTTGAAAGGTTACTCTAAGGATCACCTTCCTGTCATTTACAAGGCAAACAAAAAGGCATGGATAACCGGCACCATATTTAGCCAGTGGTTAAATGTGTACACCGTCCCTGCACTGAAGGAATACTGTGCCAAGGAAAACCTTAACTTCAAAATTCTTCTGATCTTTGACAATGCTCCAGCTCATCCTACTAATCTCGACGACTTGCATTACAGTGTAAAAGTTGTATTCCTGCCTCCCAACACGACAGCACTGACGCAGTTTTACGGAATTCACGGACTTAGTCCCAGCTGCGAATAGGGATATTCTCAGCTTGGCTAGACAGGCAGGCTTTAATGAGCTGGAATCAGATGATATTGAGGACGTCCTGGCATCCCATACAGAAGAGCTCACCAACGGAGATCTGCAACAATTAACAGAGCAGTCCCGTTGAAGACGGCGACGAAGATGAACTTCAAAGAACGCTAACTTCAAAGAGGTTGGCAGAATTATTGAATATGTTCCAGCAAGCAATGCAAATGCTTCTAGATGACGACCCAAAAAGAGAATGTAGCTCAAAGGTTCAACGCAGCGTTGAGGACAGTCTTGGTTGCTACATCGAGATCTATAAGGAGAAGATGAGTAGCACCAAGCAGTAAACACTGGATTAATTTTTTCGTCGCGGGACGGCAGAAGCAGCTTCTTCAAAACAGCCAGCAGCAGCTGCTTGACTCACCCACCAGGCGTCAGTTTGGCTTTGTTTACAGTGGATTGAACATCGATTTTGTTGGTGTCTTGAATATTTTTGCATTTTTACTTATTGGTCATTCTGAAATTTAGTTAACATATTGATAATACATAGTGCAGTGCAGTGTTCATTTAAATAAAATAATCTTGAATTACACCTAGTGAACTTAAAATTTTATTGGTGAAATTACTGCATCAAGCATGGGTCCCCACTTCCTTCTCTTCTCCCTTCACCTCCACCCCCACTTCTAATTCCCATCATCATCAACCAGGAGCCTTCTACATACACACCTCAAAGTAAGTGTACTTTACTGCATTTTTTTTTACTTTGTACAGTGGCCCCT